CTGCAGCGGCCGAGGGTCGGCGGAGCATGTCGCGATAGATCTCAGCCACAGTCTGAGAAGACGGAACGCATAGCAGGTCGCCACAGACCTCGGCCGTGTCCAAAGAAAACGGCAGGCGGAGTAAGCCGCCGCAGACATCGGCCGCATTCAGAGAAGCCAGCGGGCGGAGCAGGTCGCAGGGGGCCTCGGCCGCATTCGAAGAATATGGAGGTCGCCACTGACCTCCGCCGCATGCTGACAAGACAGTGGGCGGGGCAGGTCGCCACAGACCTCGACCGCATGCATGCGTGAGACCATGGATGCGGCCGCTCCCAGGCGCGGCAGCGAACGGGGCCGCCATGTCGGGTGGAGGCGGCCCTTGGGCCTCAAAAAGCCTCGGCGGAGCAGTCGTGCGCGCCGGTGTCTCAGCTTTCTGGGAGCTTGCACCTGCCCCGCAACCATTTCCCGATAACCTCCGCGTATCCTCCTCGACGCAATCATCAGACGGCAGAGAGTCGACCCAAGCGAAGGCCGCCTGCGCAATCCTGGTGTCAGGGAAAGAAGATGATGCACTGGGCGAGCTTGGAGGGGGAGAAGGCGATGAGCTGGGATATGAACTGGGCGACGAGGTAGATGAGGAGCGCGACGGAGCAGAGGGCCCCCGAGAGCGACGCGCCCGACAAGCAGGCGCGACAGGAGCCCACGGGGTGGAGAAAGGTCCAGATCCGAACCGGACGGTTCAAATCCCAACCGGACGGTTCAGATCCCAACCGTCAAGGACACGTGGGACGGGTGAGATGCCAACCGCTTTGGAGCCTCTGAAAAGCTCCGAGCCTCTGAAAAGCTCCGAGCCTCTGCAAGGTTCTAGAGCCTCTGAGAGCCTCTGAGACCCTCTGCAAGGTTCTGGGAGCTTCTGAGACCCTCTGGGACCCTCTGCAAGGTTCTGGAGTTTCTGAGAGCGTCTGAGACCCTCTGTAAGGTTCTGAGAGCCTCTGAGACCCTCTGGGACCCTCTGCAAGGTTCTGGAGCCTCTGAGAGCCTCTGAAAACCTCTGAGAGATTCTGCAAGGTTCTGAGAGCCTCTGAGAGCCTCTGAGACCCTCTGCAAGGTTCTGAGAGCCTCTGAGACCCTCTGAGACCCTCTGCAAGGTTCTGAGAGCCCCTGAGACGTTATGAGAGAGGTTCTGGGATTGAGGGCTTGAGGGCATGAGGGCAATAAGAAGGAAGAGGAAGAGAAGGAGGAGGAGGAAGAGGAGGAGGAGGAATGCGATTTTGGCGGACGAGGGGGCGATGGTGATGAGGAAGGTGGTGATGATGGTGGTGGTGGTGGTGACGATGACGATGATGACGAGGATGATGATGATGATGATGATGATGATGATGAATGCGATGCTGATGATGAGGATGATGAAAGTGATGGTGATGAGAGTGCTGGTGATGAAGGTGATGATGAAGATGATGAAGATGACGAAGATGATGATGATGATGGCGGTGACATTGGTAATCGCACTGGCGATGCTGACGATGATGGTGACAATGGGAATGAGGATGGTGATAACGACGATCGCCACAACGGCGGCGAACCTCAACATCATGATCATGACGTTCGTGATCCCGCTGCTGCTGCTGATGACCATGCTGGCAATGAAGATGACGATGAAGATCATCATGATGATGATGGTTACGATGAGGATGATGAGGATTATGATGATGACGACGACGACGACGATGATGATGCTGATGATGCTGCTGATGATGATGAAGACGGCGACGGCGACGACGGCGATGAGGATGATGATGGCGACGACGGTGATGACGATGATGACGACGGAGGAGGCGGAGGAGGAGGAGCGGGGGAGGGGGAGGGCGAGGGAGGAGAGGGAAGGTGGAAGAATGAGGGCGACTTTCGTCGTCGTTAGTCGTCGTCGTTGGTCGTCGCCGTCGTCGTCGTCGTCGTCGTCAGTGGTCGTCGTAGCTGTCGTCGTGGTCATCGTCATCGCCATCGTGGTCGTCGCGTCGTCGCCGCCGGCTTGGCGCTGGCGGGGACGCCGCCCGCTCGTCGCAGGGAGCACTGGGAGCCGCGGGGGGCTCTCGCCGCCGCCGCGGCCGCCGCCGCCGAAGCCGCCGCCGTCGTCGTCGTCGTCGCTGTCGTCGTCGTCTCTCGGGCACCGCCCCCCGGGAAGACGAGGGCGATGATGAGGAGGGGCAGGGCGACGAGGAGGATGAACGGAATAAGTGTGAGGATGACGATGCTGCTGACGTTGAGGAGGGTGAGGATCAGGAAGAAGATCAGGGCTGGAGGGCCATAAGACGGAGGATGAGGAGGCTGAGGAGGAGGGGGGTGAGGAGGAGGAGGAGGATTTTGGCGGAGGAGGGGGCGATGGTGATGAGGAAAGTGGTGATGATGATGATGGTGGTGGTGACGATGATGATGGTAGTGATGATGATGATGATGATGATGGCGATGATGAGTGTGATGATAATGGTGATGATGATGATGTAGATGATGACGATGATGGCGGCGGTGGCGTTGGTAATGATACTGGCGATGATGATGGTGACGATGATGGTGACGATGATGATGATGATGATGATGATGATGATGATGATGATGATGATGATGGTGATGACGACGATTGCCACAACGGCGGCGAACCTGATCATCATGATCATGACGTTGGTGATGCCGCTGCTGCTGCTGATGATCATGATGACAATGACGACGATGATGACGAGGACGAGGATTATAAAGACGATTGCCACAACGAGGCGAATCTGCGCATGACGTCCATGACGCCGCTGCTGTTTATGATAATGATGACAGTGAGGCCGCTTGGGGCTCCCTTGGGGCCGTCCTCGGCTCCTTTGGGCTCGTCCTACTCCAGGACGAGGAGGAGGTGCGTGGGGCGACTGGGATAGCAAGGGGCCTGAGGAGGAGCACCAGGGGGAGAGGTGGGTGCTTCATGTCGACGAGGGTGATGATGATGACGATGAGGGGGAGAAGGAGGCGTAGGAGGAGGAGGAGGAGGAGGAGGAGGAGGAGGAGGAGGAGGAGGAGGAGGAGGAGAGGACGGGGAGGAGGAGGAGGAGGGGGAGGAAGAGGAGGGGGAGGAGGAGGAGCAGGATTGATGCGGGCAAGGGGGGCGAGCGGGACCAGGAATCCGAGGATGAGCTTTTTTGTTGCGGAGCCCGCTGGCGATCTCGGGCCCCCCCTTGGGCGCCATTGGGCGTTTGCTCGGCCGTCTTGGGGCCCAGTGGGGTCATCTTAGGGGCAGTTTTGGGGCCTGTGTCGGCCATTTTGGATGCTCTTCGGATCGATGCGGCGAGCATGCTAAACATGTGCGCTTATCCGCGGAATTGGGGCGATGTTTGCCCCGCGGGGCCCTCTTGGAGCTCGTTTGGTTGCACTCGTGAAATCGGCGCGGCATGCCCCCATGCGGGGCTGCTCATGTTCAGCCAACGGGACATATTATAGCAGAGCGCATGTACTCCAACACTTGCCGCCGCAAACAGTACTACAATTAGTACTGACATCTCGCACTACTCGTACGGGTAGCACTTCGGCTACGTGTAAGCCTGCTGCTGCAACTACTCACTTTAGTTGTGGTGTTATTGTCGTTGGCGCTGCGCGTTGGTACGTTTACTACTACTGCTGCTAGTACGACCTATTGTTTGTATTATTGCAACTACTGGTGCTAATAGTAATACTACTAATGC